AAAGGAGGATGTACAAGGCACAAATTGTTCCCATCTTATGCTTTTCGTGCAGCACAGTTGTAGTAACTGTTACTATGAGCCTAAGATGTACAAAAAGGATGAGTGCAAGTAAGAGATGGTGAGTGAGGTTGTAACTGAGCATGCAGCTCTGATAGCTGGATTTTAGGAAGGATAAAGAAATTATGAAGAGGACTCGAGGAGGGCTAAAAACAAGTCAGAATTTAAGGGGTGTTATTTATTCAGCTGATCAAAGATATGTTTGAGAGTTGGCTTCATCACTTCACAGCCTTCTCTACAAAGATTTCTGACCAGATCTTATGTAACTTTCTGATGAAGGTGTGACAAAGTCCAGGGATTGGCAGCTAAAGTTAAACAAAGTCAGCCTTGAGTTAAATCTTTATTGCCTGGCAGGGAAAGTAGCTGAAAGCTCGAACAGCTCGTGAGAAGAATAAAGTGGTCATTACAGGCTGCTTTGAAGTACAAGTAAACTACATTTTTGTAAGATTAAAAGGTAGTTTTTAAATTCTGTTTCTGGGAGAAATTTTGTGGCCTGTGTATGTGGGAGATTAGATTGGTGGGTTGTGACCATACCTCCAAAGTTTGACATCAGTGACCGTGAATTGGTGTTGGTGCCTTTCCCTCCAGGACCATAAATGCTCTTGTGCACTTTTATGATTTTGGAGGTTGCCAGTCACCATATTTTTACTTTACTCTCTTTGGTACATTTCTTTCTGTTTCATAAGGTGCACATCATAACACGAACATGTTGCCACATGTTCCAATTAAAATGGAATGAGAAACCCATGAAGTCATCCCACCTTGCTCTTTACATCACCCTCATCGTGTACAAATACAGGTCTTGATACTTGTCAGCTGTGGCCTGACTGTTTAAGACAAACTGAAATGGGTGCCAGTTTGCTTCTCTATGCTGCATAATGAAGGACAGTGAACTCATTTGGGAGTAATTAAGTCAATCCCTATCTGGAGGCAGCAACTTCCACGAGAGGGACAGATACCTGGAGCAAGACCTTGTTAGCTGCCACAAGTTTATCTGCTGCTTCTGTCTCCGAGTCAACACTCCACATTTGCTCGAGGTAACAACCTCTAAGTTACCTTTAAAGAAATCCCTTCCAAGCAAGTCTGTGCAGTCCTCTCAGCATTCGGCAATCAGCTTGGAAAAGTTTTTCACTCCCACTTTTCTCTGCTGATTGCAGCAAAACACGGACTGTTAAAGCAATTGAGCTGAGCACCCATGCCTGCGGCAGTACCTCTCACCCGGCAGGTACAAAGCATAACAAAACCAACCTTCTGTGCATGCTCTGCGTCTGGCATTTGAATAGTTGTGATTTATCATGGATGAGGGCATGCGTAGCTCCTCCTGGTTAACACTGAAAATCAGCCATTGCACTTGAGGAGTGCTTCAGGGGCACCCGTGTCTGCCTCCGCCTCCTCAACCTCTTCCTTCTGATCTGTGGTCTGGTAATCCCTTTTTCCACACCGTACCAGATACAGTCATTCTTAGGCAGAGTCAGAGCATGGACATTTCATCCCAAACCGTGAATAAGTTAGATGAGTTTAAAAAAAAAAAAAAAAAGCCCCATGAGGCACACCAACAATTTTTGAATTTTGGTGAGATATTTTATTTGATGATGTATGTACAAGGAGGCAGTCTGAGCTAACTACTCCTGTTTGGTTTTTTTAGCTTCTTCTTAAGTATGCAAAAAGTTACATGGTGCTAAAAATACATTATTTGCTCAATCTGAGGATGCACGGTGTTATTCTAACACTATCACATGAAATGTGAACTATCAGAAGAAATGAGGAATTAAACTATGAAAATCATTGAGCACTCCAGATTCTGTACTAATGCTACTTGTCATAAGCATTCTGGCTACAAACCCTTTGTTGCTTAAATCATATACAAATATTCTACAACGTACAGTCATTGGTCTTACCTTTTCCACTTGTATTCATTTATTGTATAAAAATTCACCCTTCCATGGACTACAGTAGTTACAGTGGGGATGAATTACTTCAGTGTGAAACCTAAGCTTTGCTGTTGTAAGTATATGAACATTACAATATTTTGGTCAAAACAAGTATTGTTATTCTAAAATATGTTCAGTATCTTGGCATAAAAAAGTTTACATTATCTAGTTTCATGGTCAGTAATTATTCTAGGATTTCAGAGTGCTTTATGATGTCTGCAACACGAGTGTGTGTTTATCTCTGTTTATCGTAATTTCTGAAGACTGTCAGAGCACTCAAGTTAGTGACACAAACGGAACAGAATGGTTTTAACTAAAAGTGTAGTGCCATAATATTTAACTTGAATCAGAAAACATACTGATATTTCTTATATTACAAATGGTTGGCAACAGTAATTCTATTTCCAAGGGAGTATTTGTGGGGCCCTCTTTCATTTAAGATTATGAAGCCCTGTAGCGTGCTGAATAAGTAAAGCTTATTAAAGTCTTTTTAAGTTTCAGAGAACTCTTTAAGATATCATTAAAAAAAATGAGATTTTTTTAAGTGTTTACATCAGGTTATTCTAATAAAGTGGTAGGATATTGCTAGATGTTACTACTTTTACTTATTGTGTCAGTAATCTGAAAATGAGACTGGTAGCTGCGAACACCTACGTACTAACTCTGCCTCTGATAGCAAATCCTTTTGTGGATGTAGGCAAGTCTCCAAATCTCTCCTCCTCTATTTCCCTTCTTCAAAAATAGTGATTGTTAGTAAGTGTTGTTTAATAGTATTGCATATTACATGTGTCCAAAGTGAGGAGCACAGCAGCAGTGTGTGCCCGCAATAATTGAAGTGTCAGAACACAGTAATGAATTGCTTGCAATGCTAAATTTGACTTAGCAAAGCCATTTTGCTCATGAAAGATGCATGTGGCTGATTTGAGGAAACAGCAGGTTCAGAACCAAAATGAAGCAGAGAAAAGCCAAGCGGTGCTGGCTCTTCTGAAGCTCTTCAACAGAACCAGGCAATCTAGGTAACGAGGGTCTTTTGTGTAGATGGTACTTGAAACATCACAGTTTGGCTGACTGGCATGACTTTTCTGCTTTATTCATGAAAAAAGGTAGAGTTTCAAAACTGTACCTTTTTTCAAAACTCTAAGAAATGCCTTACAGCCTACGCCACGCTGTGGGACCCTGCAGCAGACGATCTGCATGGCAGCTCTGACACAAGCACGTGCAGTTCAGAAAATTCCTGTGTCCTGATTATTCCTTGTGTCCCAAAGGCAAACGTCCATTTGTACAGACAGTGTCCCCTCTCTGACAGTGGCCCAGGCAGGCAAGAGACTTGCTTCTTTGCAAGATGGACATATGGTCTGACCTCATATGGCAGTTTCTGTATCTGTATGGAGGGCTGTGCACTGAGGATCACATCTAGGACTGACGTTTTCTTTATTGTCTGGATGACTTGACATCCCTGGCATGAATACACTGGAGAAGGTGATGTGGCTTTTTCCTCTTTGAGGCTGTTCCTTCAACTCAGAAGCATGAAATGACATACTGGCAGTTTATGTTTGAATACAGCATTTTTTGCAAGGCTATCATGTGTGTGGTGTACTTCTGTGTGGCTCATGGAGAGCAATCATCTGAGACACACGGAGGTGTTAAGAAGGGATGAGAGCAACAAAGAGTGTGTTGGGGATGAGGACGAAGGGAAAGCAGGCCAGCATGACTCCAGGCTCTGGATCTGGTATAGCACCTTGGGCTCTGCTACGTGTTGGGCCGAGCAAAGAGCAAGGCAAAAGTTCAGTGTTTGCAGTAGAAGGCTGAGGCCAAATGCCTGAGTCATGTACTCAAAGACTTGACTGACCTCTGAGTGCGTATCTATGTCGTTGTTTATACTTTACATATAAATATGTATAACCCACCCATTCGTATGATTCAATATTGGAAGAAATGCTATAAATGCTATAGGTAAATCCAGAATCTAGATCCTTCATGGAAAAGGTCAACTGTGGGAAATAATTTCTGTGGAAAGTGATCACAGGAGCTAGTGAAGATAGAAAAAACGCAGCCAAAACCTCTACTGCAACTATTTAAGACGCTGCAGTACTAATGCAGGGAGTACTCCAGAGGGCTTTCCCGCGATCAAGCCCTGAAGGAGTCAGAGTACTTTCGGGAGCTGGCACAGAGCTCCGTCCAGCTGCTGCATTTTTCATCGCTATTAAGATGCAGCATCAGTGGCAGGGAAGATGCAGACGTTACGGCGATGCTGCAGTCTGCGGGTAGGCTCAGTGCTCTTGCTCTGGAACCAGCAACCTGCGATTTGCTCTCACTGCCAAAACAGGTTGTAATTAAGACTTCTGTTCATTATGTAAGAAATGATTTTTGGCTGGGTGCCTGTTCCCAAACCTTGCGTATCCGTGGAAAGCGGGGAAGTAGCCTGCAGGAAGTGTCTGGGACATGGTGTCCGTGGTGAACAAGACAGAGGAAATACACAGGTCTTGATTCTTTGCTGCCCTGGGGCTCCAAACAAGGCAGTCGGTCAAAGCTCCCAGGCGCTGCTCTAGACTGATGAATTTACAAAAACACTCAATGTAAGGAGCTAAGTCTGTTCTGTAGCGACCACCAGCAGCAAACAGCATACAGAGGAAGCATGCGTGGAGATGCAGCATTATGCAACCTGTCACGGAAAATTTCCATTTCCACTTGGCAATATGAAGCGCTTGTCATTAATCAAGGTAGTGTAAATTAACAAGAAGTGCTTGTCATTAATCAAGGTAGTGTAAAAGATTCCTCTCAGCAATGGCCACTAAAGTTACTACTTTGTTATCGATGCTGTAAAAGCATGTATATTGAAGGTACCTGCATGAAGTTGACCACCTTCCTCCTTTTCCTGAGTCTGCAGAGGGGAAGAGGAGAGCTCCAAGTGTTGCTTCCTTACAGCGAGGCATGTAGTGCACACGTTGCAGATAGGTATGCTCTGATTTCAGTCCTACCAGCCATAGACTTTCTATCCACTTCTTTTCCTAGTGTCCAACAAGCACCATTTTATGGACAGCAACTTGCTCTACCAGTGCAGAATGAATTTCCGGCGGCGGCGGCGATTAATGGAGCTCCTCACTGAGAAATCTCGCTTGATGCCAGAAAGCCATGACAGCCCGTTTTGCCTGCGCAAGCAGAACCATGACAACAGAAAACACACGAGTTTTCTCTCAGGTGACTCATCAACTATACTGCTGTCTGTAGGGTGACTCCATGGGATGTTAAAATAACTTTTTTGTACAAGTGTTTCAGTGTTTGTCTGAAAAAAAAGCAGGGCTGGATATCATGTGTCTCTGTTCGTAGGGATTGTCCATTCACTCAGTTTACCAAATCTTTAGCTCCCTGTGGTGGTTTTGTATCTGTATCAATACTGATCAAAATTTGGCATCCATCAACAAACAGAACTGGTTAAAATCCCCCAAGCCCAAAGTAATTTGTCATACATTCTATGTGGAGTTTTCGAGGAGAGTAAAAGTGAGGGGAAGAGGTCCTGCAGTGTTTGCTGTACAGCAATATCTAGGAAGAACGGAAAGAATAGATGTGAAGTAAAAGGAAAACTGGAAAAACTTACTTCCCTGCATTTAAATGCCTCCTAGAAGACACTGCCAGGGGACCAGTTCAGCCATCATGTTAGCTACAGCATTATACTCCTGCAGGGACTCTTCCAACTATGTTGAACATACTAACCCCTTCCTGGTGTTGTCAGCAAAAGCATGGCTTATTGCTATTGTTTTAAAGAAACAAGGGAAATGGGTTTAATAATTGATACCGATTCCCTTTCTCTCTATATTTTCTCTCTGTTTGTAGTGAGTCCCACCAAGGAGATAAAGATTGTGTCAGCGGTACGGAGGAGCAGCATGAGTAGCTGTGGCAGCAGCGGGTACTTCAGCAGTAGCCCAACGCTCAGCAGCAGTCCCCCCGTGCTCTGCAACCCTAAATCCGGTGAGCACCAGCGTCACTTACAATGCACAGGAGCACAGACATCTGTCTGGGGAGAAGGCAACGTGAAGAATGCCTAGCATCGTATCTAAGTTTATATTTTCAAGGATACATTAAAAATTCACAGCGCCACAGGTTTTGTAGGCCAGAGGGGACTACTATCATCTTCTAGCCTGAAGTCCTGCTGCACACAAGCCAGACTCTGCCTCCAGTAATCTCTGCATCAAGCCCATAATTGTGGTTTGAGCTGCAGTTTATCTCTTAGGAGGACGTGCAGTCAGAGGCCCAGATTTGCCTTTTCATTGCCAAGCTCTGAACCGATTCAAATTTCCTCCCAGAGACATTCCTTCGGTGCAAGTCGGAGGAGATTTTAACTGTTCAGTGGCCGCTTGAGTTGCTATAAAATAAGACAACACAGAAAACAGCAGCCTCTAAAAAAAGAGGCAGCATTGTCTCAGCCTGTCAGGGACCATTTCAACATTTTTGTTTGTTTAGATCTTACACTGGTCTGTTTAGGAAGCTTATTTTCCTTTTGAAAGGATTTCCTATCCCATGCCGGAAGATTAAACACACCCATTCTTCCACAGTTCACTTAAAATTGTTTCTTACAGTACATCTGGGAAGGGGAAAACAGACCAGGACAGGCATTGTTTCAGCCTCTCTGTTTCCCTCAGAAACAGCCCTGAATTTCAAAGCAGAGTCCCTGCTGCCCTTCGTTCTCCTTATTATTTCAAATTTACCGTGTCTCTGCCGATGATGTGGGGTGTTGAGCAACGGGAGAAGGCTTCAGTGGATCTGTGTAAGCTTTGCTTTCAAAAGGATGCTGGCATTTGAAGTGATTACTAGAGAGTGCCTCAAGCACTATATGAATCCTGTTCAAAACATTGACAATTTACTCCGGAGATGAGTGAGCTAAAGTGCATTTCATT